AACTATTCCAGAATAAGTAAAGATGTCTAAAAGAACTCTGCAGGAGCATGTGCATCAACAATCTTACAGAAAATATGATCCTCTAACCAAGGACGGATTGGGGGGCGGGGGGACCCAACCCTTTAACATGAAAGCCCACCTTGCATGGGCTCATGATCGGTTAATCCAAAGCCTGAACCTAACTAGATTTTACTAATATAAAATATGAATTATATGTCATAAATTTTTTACCATGGAAAACTTCGTATGAATACAAATAGTATACATTATGTAGCACATACCTCATATTTTGTTAGTCAAAGAAATGGTCAAACTTGCACCAAACAAGGGGGCTAATAAACCCGGAGGGAGGAAGTATATTAGTATTTCCTTTTTACGCTACGGCTAGCCCAGTTGTCTAGAAAGCGGTAGGCCGGTAGCCCACCTCAGAAGATAAGACAAGTTTACTTAGTCTTTCCTTTTTATCGCTACAACTAAAATGCAGTCACGATAAAAAAAAACAGTGTTTCAACATTCGTGCGCTCGTCCGCTCCAGCCCGTCGCCAAGCCTAGGGCAATCGAATTGTTCAAGCTCTCACCGCGCCTTTTCTTTTCCATCTATTTTATTCACAATGGAGGATGATCTGAGGTCCGGGGAACGGAGGAATAATTGTGCTGCTGTGGCTTGAGATTTGGTGAAGGAAGTGCTTGGATCAATTGCTCCTGATGTGCCAGACTCAAAAGGACATGGTATTTAAATCTTCTGTGGCCGGCTACTTGACAGTGCTAAAGTATTATAGTTTGTAGATTATCTAGTTTCTTCTCTCTCTTTTTATGATAAATCTAGTTTCTTCTCTTTGTGAATTGCTTTTCTTATTTATCAATATATAAGTCAAGTGTCATAGCCATTTCTGATGTATATTTAGTTGACTTGTGTATTTTGAGTTATTCCGCGCTCAACCTTGTTTCTCTTTTATTCCAAACTTCATCTAGGCTTTAATTTTCTTTCCACGGATGGTGAGCCTTCACCAGTTCGACCCCCTATGTCGGAATCCTGGCTCCATCCCTGGCTCTAACTCTAATTATTATTTCTATTTTCCAACATCTCCACCTGTATATATATATATATTCCCTCCATCCCAAAATAAGTGTCATGGTTTTAGTTCATTTTAGTTCAAATTTGAACTAAAACCATGACACTTATTTTTGGACGGAGGGAATATAACTTAATGAAAGAATACCCGCCCAATATAATACATAAGATGATAAGAATATGGTTCATGTGATTCAGAACCGCTAAATTCTTCGTCTATATCATGTGCTTAAAGGAAGACAAGCCATAACACTGAAACTGCCAAACTGGGAAGTGGAATAAAATAATATAAGTAGTGTGTATGCTGAAACTGAAATATAGTAACTCCTATAGTCCTATTCACATAAGCATCATCCCTAGCCTAACCCACCTTGCTTGGGACAAAAGGCTTTCTTGTTGTTGTAAGCATCATCGGAAGTTTGCTACCTGCTGCAATTGCAGTATACCTAAATGGCCTCATCAAGCTACCTGTACAACTGGTAGTGTATCCTACTACTCCCTTCCGATTTGTTAGTCTCATCTCAAACTTTTTGATTTTCTGAATTTGTCAGGCTTATTGCTTTGGAAATGGTCAAACATTAGCTAAGGCTACATTAATTAACTTCAATTTTTGCTTCTCAATGTGAGAATGGAATCAACCAATACATGAAGGGGAGAAGGTGGTTATGCATGTAGTATTAAGATTATTTTTTTACCGGGCTTACCCCCTTTCCATTACAAGAAGGAAATACAACTGTTCCAGAAACATTCAGGAGGAGAGGAAAGAGAGGTAGCGAGTCCAACGCACTGCCAGGAAACCCACCGCACTCTCGCTCGCCATCGAAACGAGTACTGTGGTGCAAAAACCTGACAGCACCAAAAGTATCTAGCCCTATTACATGCCCAGCAAATAGCGGAAATGTAGTATTAAGATGGTGTCAACTAGTGGTCAATTAGGTTCTCCTTGGTTGCTGGGCTTTCGTAGATGGGGCTAATAAACTGGAAGGCAGTATTTTGTTGCCACGATTTGGCCAGTGGTGTCCCAATGCTATGGAGGTGTGTTGAGTGGAGCACCTCTATGCACATGTCCAAGAAGGTCCTACTGGCCACAGCATGCATGAGGTGCCATGCTCTGCCCGCCCAGGAAGGAGGTAGTGCCCAAGGGTTTCTAAACATTGAGGCAGGACCTACCGATAGCCCTTAACGGTACTATTTTATTCAGTGAGGTGTGTAGTGTCAAACAGACAATGTTTTGCGATGGTACTCAGTAAGTTGATTTTAGTGTGCTGGGCCAAATGCCACAGAAGTATAGTACGATGAAACCAGTTTTGCCTTGTTCACAGCAGGTGTTTTATCCCCAGCTTAACAAATGTTACTATTACCTGATGAGAAGTACATGAGCCGGTCGCCTCATTTGAATCAATGGTCTGCCGCTTCTGTTGGTAAGCATTAGGATGGTTGTTCGCCTTCTGCGGGGACAGCTGCAAAATAAACTTATAGTTAATCCTATTTATGCAAAAAAGAGGGCAAAATGGAAATAACAGCAACAGGTTGTACCAGTCGCTGCCGTTTCTGTTGGGAAATATTACTGTGCTTGTTCGAGTTTTGAAGGGGCAGCTGCACCACAACCTTATGGTTAATCATATTATGCGAGAGGGCAAAATGGATATAGTATCAACAGGACAAAAGTGTGACAGCATATACCTGAAGCGAAAAATGTCCACGAAAACGGGCATTTTGCAAGCCAACCTGAGCTAGATCTAATGCACAGTAGAGGTGAAAACCATTAGATTCAGGATGAGCAACTAATCACTGATCTAGATATAAAACATGGTGTCATAACCAAAGTATGAACCACAACTCAGGGCGAAATTAGTAGACAGCTGACAACAGATTGATCATAGGGCATCCTTGGTTTGCAGCCGAAAATTGTCTTGCCAATGTTTTGGCAAGCCAACATTTGAGAATATCCAACTTCCCAGAGATTGGCAAAACAAGGTAGACAACTAATTGATAGCAAATACTTTGCCTTTGCCCACATGTTGGCAAGCTAAATTTTGAAAGCATGTTCATACTGATTTAAGTAAGATATCATTTTAGACCATCGCAATTTAAGCAATTTGAAGAATGTCAGCACAAAGAAAGTCTATCATGATTTAAGCCTTAAGTATTACTGTCGGAAGGTGCCCTTAAGTGAAGGAAAACAGCCTAATCCATACAGATTACCATTGCATCCAGTGATCTAGCATGGGGCTAAACGAAATGAGAACCATACAGAACTGAAACTAAATGTACCCAAACCACATCTGTTGACACACAAATAGTCCTAAAAATGACAGAATAAGATTCATAAGTGTCATATCATAAAATAAAATAAAATAAAAAATATTCATAGTTACCTGATTCATTATTCAGATATTTGTTCAGCACACAAGGAATGTAGGTGGGATTACGATCTGATGATCTCTTGGCATTAAATGGCACTGGCTCTCCCACTCTCTTGGTCCTCATGTCAACAGTGAGAATCCATGCATCATGGTCCCGATGATTTTTCTTGGACATGAGACAAACAATGCCATCACCACACGCAGTTGGGTAACATGTTTTCAGGGTTTTCAATGGCAATTTTGCAGCACCATCGCAGCCGGAATCTGGATGAGGCAAGGACACATTTCCAAGTTCATCTAGATGAAGCACACTGTCCTTGCACCAATAGTCCCAAAAGACCTCCCTAGACCATGTAATGAGCCTCCAACCAACAAACCCTTGTACTTCCTTCTCCTCAGTTGGATCAACCGCATCAAAATCAAATAATAGATCCTTGGTTGAGGCATCAGGAATGCTGGTTTTGATAGCATATAGATCTTCCAACTCGACGCACCTGATTATCAAACCATCGGGGCAGGTGACGTCGCGAATAGGGCGTGCCACCAATCTGTTGTAGTTTACTCGGTTATTAGGCAGAAGCTTGGGCAGTGGAACAAACCACGTTTTCACAAGTTCAGATAGCACATCGCAAAACAAAATACCCTTCCAGAGATCGACAAAGCCCAGCACTCCGCCTTGTAAAGCAATCACCTTGCTGGGAGAAACTGTTGCCCCTTTCTTGGTCAGCCAAGAAGGAAGATCCGGGAGCAAGAGCTCCGTGGTCCAGGCACGCTGCTTGGATCTGAAGATATGGAGCTTGTACTGCAATATATCCCTTGTGAAAGCTGCCAAGACGAAGTCTGTGCCGCCGCCCTCAGGCAAGACGCCGATAAGGCATGGTTTGGTTGTCTCTCTATGTAGGTACCTGCTGATGTCGGGAAGCGCATCAAGCGATGGCGGACGCCCGTTCCGTCCGGGCCTGTAGATGAAGTGCTCCAGCAACCAGGAAGTGGACAGATGGAAGATGAGGAGAAAGAGGTTCTCCGCCGAGCAAACGATCTTGGGCTCGGTGATGAAGGTGCTGGTTGGGAGGTCCAGGCAGCGGACGTAGAAGCGCGAGAGGCACGGGAGATCGGAGATAACGAAGGTCACACGGATGGTTCCTGTCGCCGCCGAGAAGGCTTGCGCGGTGGTGTGGTTGTCGTCCACGTCCACGAACCCATACCCACACGAGTCCAGGAGGACGCAGTCGGGACGGCTGGGGACGGAGGAGAGGGCCGGTGGACGGGTTCCCGCACGGCCGGACACGCCCGGAGGAGCGGGTCGGACGACCGAAGAAGGAGCGGCGGCTGGATCCGGGCACCACGGTGGTAGGGGGTGGGACTTGGGGATTATGGTTGCCGGAGGAGTAGGCCGGCTAAGCTCGGAAGGAGAGCGGCGGCTGGATATGGACATCGCGGCCGACATGATCGAGGGTTAGGGTTCTTCCCGGAGGAGAGCAACCAGAACGTTGTTGGCCTCTTGGATCGATTCAGAGAACAGGTTGGGCACCTCCGCCGGACCCTGTGAACCGTCAAACTTGCTTCGCGCGTCATAATTTCGAGTTAGTAGAGTATAAATCCCCACCTGAGACGGAGACACCGAGACGGTCCTTTCTGGAACCGGATCCTCTAACATTGACATCCCTTCTTCATATCTACTCCCTCCGTTCCGAATTACTTGTCTTAGATTTGTCTAGATACGGAGGTATCTAGCACTAAAATGAGTGTAGATACATCCGTATCTAGACAAATCCAAGACAAATAATTCGGAACAGAGGGAGTATATGGTTAAGCCTAAAATCTACTATATACATTTACAAAAATTACATACAAGCAAAATTATGGTGCAATAAAAATTATTTTTGATTTATTTTTGTATATGCTACAGTAAATTCACAAAATAGTTGCTACAGTAACCCTGACATCCCTTCTTCGGTTTACACACGCATTTCGCTGTAGCTTCGTGACATCCCTTGAGGATGTTAGAGGATCCGCTTCCGTCTTTTCTACGCGTTGTATGTCACCTGATAAGACAGTTGATGTGAGGCCACGGATTCTTCCGTTTTGATTGTATTCTTTTTTTTTCTTAATTAACATAGTGCAAACGCATGCACTCATATATATGCGCATACATTCATCCTATAAACGCACACACGCACATTCTATCTCTATGAGCATCTTCAAGAAGACTAAGCTGGCATGTCATCTTGAGAAATTCAGGATAAATGCGACCACTATGATTTAAACCTTGATGGGTTTGGGATATCAGTGTCCTCCTAACCATCCAACCATGGGTTAATTTGATGTATTTCTTTTTTTTGGCTAGTGTTTCTTTGTGCAAAGGTCAGCGTTTTGTTATCTTTTCAGTTTTGTCAGGTCGATGTCTATGTGACTTGTACTATGATCTTTATGATTTATAAATGAAACACATTTACCAATTTACGATGCAAAAAGAAGAAGTTCTCCTCTGAAAAACCTGGAGCCCCCAAGAGGCAACTAGGGTTTGAGGGTGGATCCTATGACGGCGCACATCAATCTTCTTCGGCGGGGCGACGGCGAGACTGATTAGAGGATGGCGACGTCCATTGATAAAGGCAAGGAACATGGGCCTTTGTTGCCGAGGGCGGCTATGGCAAAGTTAGCGGAGGTCTTGTGAAAACTCGAGATCTCAAAAGAGGAGGCCACGCCACTGGTTCTTGATGATCATGAGGAGGAAGTGGGGAGAAGTGGATGCTGGCTGGGAAAGTCCTTCACCGAAATATCTTTCACATCCAAACCATCTCTAGCGCACTTCGTCTGGCATGGGGTAACCCTAAAGGGTTGCTCTTCAGATCGGTTGGGGAAAACATGTTTGTAGATGAGTTTGATTCCCAGAGGGATAGAGATAGTGTGTGGGAAGGAGCTCATTGGCATGTGAGTATAGGGCGAGAGTCACAATTGATGTGGATAAACCCTTGAGGACATGGATATTGATTGAACCAAAGAGGCGATAATGCATGGACCCGTACGACTTACAATATGAAAATGTCCCTCATTTTTGTTTCTCGTGTGGGCGCACGATTAGGCAATTCAGATCTTTATTGCCCAATGTCGAGTGTTAGAGATGAACATGGCGACCTCCCGTCTTGGAAGGGATCGCGGGCTCCTGAGGAGTGCAGCAAGATGACCTCAAGTGAGAGTTCGACGAGAGAGCAGTATGGCACATAAAACAATAAAGCTGAAACTCACAACTCCACTTCAGCGACCGATGGAGGAGCTCGGGTAAACTGTCTGGTTAAAGCAAGAGCTAATCAAAACAAACGAAAGGTAGGACCTCAAGGCCCCAAACAGGTTTACCAAAAAGTACATAAGCCTCTGTTGATGAACTCTACATACATAGAAATGGATGATACTAATGATCCCAAGGGTTCAGATGGTGGGTTGCTTTCAGGGAAAGGTTCAAAACAGGGTGAGGGTGAAACAAGGGAGCCAAAGAAGAACAAACCAACACCCAGTAATTCGGATAACTCGACAGTGGCTGCAAGCCAACCCTGCCATGGACAATGAGATGCTTCAGTTGGAACTGTCGGAGGCTTGGGAACCCTGGGGTAGTTTGAGAGCTTCGCAGCATAGTGAAGCAAGACGGCCTCGGTTTATTGTTTCTTATGGTGACTAAGATTTCAACAATAAGAGTGGAGCGGCTGCGGAATCATTTGGGTTTTGCATCTTGTTTCATAATGAATAGTGAGGGTCTAAGTGATGAGATTGGCATGTTCTGGTCCCAAGACTTCGATGTTGAGCTAAAGAATTATAGTTCCTATCACATTTACAGTTAGGCGAAGGGTGCCGACGGGAAGATTTGGTGTGACTGGGTTCCATGGAGCGCCTAGAGCAAAGGATCGGCATCATAGCTAGAGGTTTATGAGGACCTTGTTTGCAATCCAACATGAGGCTTGCATGTACATTGGTGATTTTAATGAACCTCTATTTGGTTCGGAACATTTTTAATATTCACCACGACCAGAGTGGCAGATTTGTGCATTCCAGGAAGTGATGGATGATTCCTCACTCACGGACCTTGGATGGTCGGGAGTAGAGTATACATGGGATAATAATAGGCAATCGGGAAGATCAAATGTCAAAGCTCGTCTTGATAGGGCCTTTGAAAATCCATTTTGGTTAGATATATTTTAACGTATCAAAGTACGTCAAATTGTTGCTGAGTCGGATCACAGCTTTGTTTATGTGGACCTCCGGGAGCATCTTGCTTCGTTGGCACCTAGAGGGCCAAAACCCTTTAGGTACGAGCATGTATGGCAGACATATGTTGATTATGACAAAGTGGTGTTTGATAATTGGCATCGAGGTGCAGGCGGTCGGGGTTAAAAGGTGTCACTCAAGCTCTCAACTCACTACAGGGGAAGTTGGCAGCGTGGGGGCGAAGGAGTTTGGCTCACTTACACGCAAAGTCCGTAAGATGCGTCAAAGACTTGCACATTTACGTGCCCAATCCGTTGGTAGGGGGTTGTCTGATGAGGAGAAAGCGATCACAAAAAAATTGTGGCTCGCCCTGAAACAAGAGAAGATTATAATACGTTAGAGATCTCGTGGCTTCGCGGGGGCGACAAAAATACGGGTTATTTCCATGCCGAAGATGCTCAGGAAAAGCGCATGAATAAGATCGAGTGTCTTGAATGGGCAGATGGCTCGAAGTGTACAGATTTGGAGGGGACCGTGCTTAAGTACAGGCTTTTTACCAAGCATTGTACACATCGCAAGGGTTTCAGCATATGGATGAATTGTTGAATGTTGTTCCTACCTGGGTCATGGATGCCATGAACCAAGAGCTGCAGAAACCATACACTGAGGATGAAGTTAGGCATGCTCTTTTTCAAATGACGCCATCAAAGGCCCTGGACGGATGGGTTTACTGCCGATTTTTTCCAATGTCACTAAAAATGTTAAAAGATGATATTGTACTAGCAGTTCTAGACTTTCTGAATGGAGGCCAGCTCCTGGCGGGCATGGATGATATGTTAATTACTTTGGCCCCAAAGGTACAGTTTCCTCATAAGATATCTCAATATCGTCCAATTTCTCTATGTTCATCTTTGTATAAAATTGCAGGTAAGGCTATTGCAAATCATGCTAGAGTTTGTTTGGATGAGATTATTGGTGAAGAGCAAAACGCTTTTGTCCCGAGCTGTTTGATCATTAATAATGTGTTAATTGTGCATGAGAGTGTGCATGCTATGAAGAGAAGAAAGAAAGGGGACAATGCAGTTTGTGCGGTTAAACTAGACATGATGAAGGCCTACCACTGTGTTAAATGGCATTATCTCGAGGCAATCATGTTGCAGCTAGGCTTTGGTGTAGAGTTTGTTCGATTAATCCTGAAATGTGTGATGCCAGTCAAATTTCCAGTGTGTGTCAATGGCGCGCTGCTACCTTTCTTTACACTATCGTATGGATCAGAAGGTCGTGTATTTGTGTCACAGCTGGACGAAAGGTCTTTAAACCTGCACGGACTCCCACACACCATTGGGAGCCTTGCCCTTCGACGGTCCCCATTTGGTGGCCTGCCGCCTCAAGTTGTTCATATGATGACTTTTTAGAGTTGTCCTAACAATGGTCCAAAGTTGTAGAACGGATTATGCAGATGTTAGTTTTTGAGCTTGAAGCGCCGCCATTAACTTGTTTATCATTGACTCTCAATCGACACAAATATAAGGAGTCAAATCCATAAAACCACCACAATACAATACATGTATCATTAGCAAAAAAACACCGATGATAAATTATAATTGCATTGATGATGTCACTAATTGACCGGGCCAATCCGTTAGGCTGAGTTGGTAGAAAAAAATGCCATGAGGGCAAACTTAGTCTCAACACAGAGATGCTCGCTACCGAGCCGTCTGCCTGAATCCTCTTCGCACAGTGCTCATCCCCGACCTCCCCTCACGGGAGCGCCGCCCATCGGCCCTAGGGTGAGGACATTGGCTCGCACGCCAAGGGAATGTTGGGGACGGGTGAAAGGATCGATATGGTTGACTAGAGGGGGGGTGAATAGGCAACTAACAATTTTTAAGCTTTTCTTTACCAAATTAAACTTCGCAACAAATAGGTTGTCTAGATATGCAACTAAGTGAGCAACCTATATGATGCAATAACAACTAGCACACAAGCAAGCAAGAGATGTAACAATAAGTAAGCTTGCAAAAGTAAAGGCACGAAATAACCAAGAGTGGAGACGGTGAAGACGAGGATGTGTTACCGGAGTTCCTTCCTTTTAAGGGGAAGTACGTCTCCGTTAGAGCGGTGTGGAGGCACAATGCTCCCCAAGAAGCCACTAGGGCCACCGTATTCTCCTCACGCCCTCACACGATGCGAGATGCCGTGATTCCACTATTGGTGCCGTTGAAGGCGGCGACCGAACCTTTACAA